TTTTCTGGTCCACCTTTTTTCTTCATACAAATATATAGCATAAATTTATATTTTATTAAATTTATTGGGGTGACTTTGGTTAATAAGATTATAGAGGTTTTGAGTACAGATATCTGTGATACATGATCTGTTTATTGCATTGTGTGCTCATCACCCAAAGTCTAGCCTCCTTCCATCACCATATATTTTATCCCCTTTAATTATGGTCTCTTATTAGACAGTTTTTTCTAGGATAAGCATTGTATGAGAGAACGTTATCAGCTCACTCCCAACTGCTCTTCCTCTCCCATGAGATGTGGGAGGTAGTTATTAAAAGCCTCAATATGTTTCTCTCTCTTCAGCTTACTTAAATTGCTTTCGTAGAGTATCAAACACATTTGCAAAATTAAGAGTCTCCATATAAAAGTTTTACTATGGTACTTCTTTCATGCCAAGAACTAAATCTGAGGCTTTAACTTCAGTGCAAAAGGGAAATTAGTCTCTCTGAAAGGAGTATAGAATACAGTGAGCTAACCGTATAATTCTTCAACTCTGTTGACATTTCCAAAGGGGTCCAGCTTTATATATTTTTATAACTCTTTTCAGTGATGGAGTCATAAAGATTATAGATAAAAGAAATTGACAGTTCCATAAAGAAATCGGAAATTTTAGATATTTTAAATATAAGATGTGACCAAGAAGGCGAATGGTTCTAATTCACCATGGTTCACCGGGATTATGCCATGACCAGGAAATGATCACTTAGAAGAAACCAGATTCTTTATTCTGGTTTCACTCATGGGGCTCAGAATGTTAGAACTGGAAAGCAATAGACTTTATCTAGGAGGAGGATTATAGGGACTTGGTTAGTTTGAGATTTAGCCGCTAATCCACAGACTATTTATTAAGCACCTAATATGAGCCATGCATTGTACAATGTACTGTAGATAAAGAAGTGAACAAGACACTCAATATTAGCACTAAAATCCTCTAGTTGAAGAAAGATGATTAAGCAACCATTTCCTCTAAGAGACAAATGCTATGGGACAGAAAGGATGGAGAATTTGAGAACATCTAGGAGGACTGATACAGATGTGATGGCAGGGGGTGGGGCCTTCTGGAGCCCGAGAGATTGACGCCTAAACTGAGACCTGAAGGATAAGGAAACATTAACCACACAATGGCCCTGAAGGAGGCCTGAGGAGTGTGGGTACGTTAGGGTGTGTGGGTGGAACATAATACAGGATGTGGTGAGAAGGCCTGTGGAGGCAGGGTGGGGTGGGCTTCGGAAAGCAGGTTAAGAAGTGTGGACATTATCCAGTGGCAATGGCAATGGGAAGCCGTTTAATCAGAAGAATGAGGTGATCAGATTGGTGTTTTCGAAAAATCACTCTGCAATGTGGCCAATGGACTGCGGGGTAGAAAGTCCGGCAGGCGGTGAGGAATTAGTTAGGAGACTGCCCAGTCATCTAGACTATAGTAGTCACGGGGCTGAGGAAATATCTCAGCGCCTGAGGTAATTAGAAGCATCCAAGTGACCTATTGATTACGGGGGATGAAGCAATGGAGAGTCAGTGTCACCCTCTCCCCCACCCTCTAGCTTTCTGACTTGAGCAGAAATATGGGAAACGTAAAATAGGAAGGAGCTCTTGTTGGAATACTGAAAACTCGGAGGTATGTCTCAGCAAATGGGAAGCCCTTAAAACGATGGGAGGATAATACTTCCAATAGTTCAGAGTATTTTTTCTACTTCAGATGAAGGATGCGCTTTCCAGCTGTAACGGCCTACATGTCACGAGATGCTTCCCAAACTTCATTTGGGAGCAGCAGTTTCCAGGCTACAAATAATTGAATATCTCCCTTTAGTATCTCTTATTTCATGAAGACACGAAACTGTCACTGCTAAGAGCCTGCAGTTTCTCCTTGAATAGGTGAAAATTCTGGGCACATCTGCATTTGTTCGGGTTGCTGTGTTCTTAGAAGGAGCTCAGGGACACCTGCTTACATTCTGATCAATGGCTGAAGTTTATTCTGCCCCTGACTGCGAATGAATTATACAGCCGTTGGAAATGTCAGCCAAGCCCCATAAAGAGAGCTCCGGTTCGCTGCTGTTACACTGTTAAATAATCAGTGTTCACGTCACATTGGATTGGATGTAAAGGTGCCTTGTGGCTGTCATTCCCACTGGGAGGCACTTCAGAATGACCCCTCCCCTCTACCCCCTGACATCAAGCAGCCAGCATAAATACGTTACAGATACAGTGGCTGGACCAACGGAAGGGAGTCACTATTTTTTTTCAAATAGCCAGCTTAGTCTTCCTTGCTCAGCTGATTTGAGAAAATTCTTGAACATCCAAGCTGATTATCATCAAATCTGGTGTAAATACTAAGGAATCATCAGATATCAGGTTACATCTGTGGATAAAGCTGCCATTGGAAAACAACATGAAGGCCAATATTTTTTAAAAAAATGATAGAAATCCCATCTGTGTAAGAAAAATGTCTTCTTTTTATAGATATTTGTTATCAGGAGTTGCTGATAGAAGCCATATTTTTATAAAATTAGCCTCTTCTACTAAAAGGCAAAACTCTTAAGAGCAAGTTACCATGGTCTGCCAACATAGCACATTGGCTAGAGGGAGGGAAGGAAGGACAAAAGAGTTAGAAGGAGGTGGTGAGGGATGAAGGGAGGGAGGAAGGAGAAGTGGGGGAGGTAGGGAGGAAGTG